CTCTAGTGTCGGCAGGTCTCCCTGGCGTTTTATTCATGTACGTGAATATACGAGGAAAACAAATAATGACGTCAGAGAGAGTGCCCTACCTGTGGTCGACTCACTTCACAGGGCACCCCAGTCTAGACCCCGAGTTATTGACACCGAGGGAAATATGAGTGTGGCCGGACGGGAGGGGAGGTTTCAGGTCTCCAAAGGGTATTGACTGACAGCGACACAACTTCTCTCCCTTCCCTCTTCGGAAGCTGCCCTGAGGGGATCCGCTCTGTTGAGGGAAGCAGGGTGTGGGGGGAGGAATCCTGTCTGCGGAGGGTCTAGTCTGAGGGGGTTAGAATCGGGGGAGGATTCCTGAGGGGGAAGCGGGATGTTGGGGGGGAGGAAGAATCCTGAGGGGAGGAAGCAGGGTCTGGGGGAGGGGAGGTAGGAGCTGGGAAGGAGAGCGGAATCCGCCCCCTCAAGACAGAAAACTCGACAGCTGGGCACGAGCCCAACACGCTGTTCCGTGGCCTTCCGATCCCGAGGTCTCGGTTCCCAGACCACTGAGACGGGGCGGAAGGCCGCGAGGGCTGGCGCGTCCAGAAGTGGACACCCCCTGCCGTCTCCCGGGAGCGCACAAAGGTGGCGAGCCGGGCGGCGAAAGGGGGAACCAGGCACGGCACCTCCCACCCCAGCCCCAGGTGCTCACACGTGCAGCAAAACCCTGTCGGGCCCTAGAGCCGGTGTGGCCTTTGTTCCCGGCGGGGACTGGGGGCCGCGGGACTTTGTCCCCGCCCCTGCCTTTGTTCCAAATGCTGCGCGCGGCCCCCCAAATCCAAGCCCCGCCCCCTTCGCGGCGGCGACCTCCGCGCACACCCCTCCCCCTGCGGGAACACGCCCCTTCCATTCTCACCACTCCCCCACGGCCCTAGCCCGGGATGATCACTTCCTTCCCTAGAAACTGAAGTTAGTGCCTGGCTGCGAACCGAGTGAGGTGTGCGCGTCCTTTGCGGAGCAGTTTCCACAGCCCCACCCCCTGCTACTCCTCAAAGTCAGGGTAGAGGGTGGGTGACCCACACCCACCTTGGTCCCTGGGCAGACACTGAGGCATCAGGATCAGAAGGTCAAAGTAGGTGCTGGCAAAGAGTGTATAAGTGGCTCTCTTAGGGGCCACCCCCAAACACCTAATAAAGAACAGTTCAGGTGGAAAATGCAAAGACCCTGAGGCAGAATAGGCAACAAAGGAGCCATTAGGTGAGGCATAATGGGAGGTGCCAACAGGGTCTGGGGGCTGGATCCCTGCATGCCACCCTACCTTCTGCTTGTTACACGCTTTTCCCGGAGGTTTCTGTGGCCTATCAAGGCCTATGCACTCCGCTTTGCAATGGTTGCTGACGCCACCCTTCCTCCCTCGGTGTTCAGGACCTTCATCCTCAAGTAAGAGGCAGCCATACATGCAAGTGCCACTCAGTGCCAGCAACAGGCAGTAGAACATCTGTCTCCTCACCACAAGGCCCTACATCACTCTTGGCATCACAGGGAAATGAGGCTTCAGGAAGTACCAGCAGCAATGGGGGGAAGGGCGAATCAATGGCAGCCAGGCTCAGACAGACCTAAAGAAAGCCAGGGGATAATCGAACTGAGTAAGCTACAGTGGTTATATAGGAGGGTGAGGCCAGGGCTGAATCCTCTTCACTCAGAGGTCCTCTCCGAGTAGCAAGCTCATCCAGTAGTATATGGAGGACATAAATGTACCTTGGCTTTCCCTCTCCCCACCCCCTGCCCTCGAAGCTCTACCCTCCCCTGTTTTCCATTGCTAAGTCTTTACAAAGGCTCTACCCAGTTCTAGAACACTGGAAACCATCTATCTTCTGCCTTAGCAGACAGGGCTTGGAAGGTAGAGCAACCTGGTTGGGCACCTGTCCACAGCCAGCCACCTTCACCCTGTCTTCCTTCCTCAAATTTCATACCCTATAATCACTTTATCCTGTCTTCGTTGTTACTTCCAAAGCCACTTTCTGAGAAAGTCTTGTGGCTGTATCACTCCAATCTCTCAGGCTCTGTTTTCACACTGCATTCTTTTCTCTGTGTCTTCTGTGTTTTATAAGGACATTTGGGGGGCCAGGATTCTGGAGCAGTAGGTTAGAAGATCATTCTCTCCGTGTCTCTGTCACTCTGCCTTTAAAATCAATAAACATTTATAAAATAAAAATTTTAAAAGATATATTAAAGTCCTAACCCCAGTATCCGTGAATGTGACTTTATTTGGAAACAAGGTGTTTGCAGATATAATAAAATGAAGATAGGGCAGGCATTTAACCTAGTGTTCGAGATGCGCTTATCCCACATCAGAGTACCTAGGTTCAATACCTGGCTCTGGCTCCAGCTTTCTGCTAATGTGGACCCTGGGAGGCAGCAGTGATGGCTTAAGTAATTAAGTTTCTGGCTACCAGTGTAGGCCCCACTGGCTGTTACAAGCATTTGGAGAGTAAATCAGTAGATAGGAACAATCTCTTTCTCAATCCCCCATCCTCAAATAAATTTATTTTTAATTAAGATGATGTCACACTGTAGGGTATGGTCCTAATTCAGTGGGGCGGGGGGGACAGGCCCTTGGTGCAGCTGCTTGGGAAGCCCGTATCCTATATTGCATCCTACATCACAGTGCCTGGGTTTGAATCCCAGCCCTATTTCTAATCCAATTTCCTGCTAATGCACACCTTGGGCTGCAGTGGCCATTGGGGGTGAACCAACGGAAGGAAGACCTTTCCCTCTCTCTCTCTCTCTCTCTCTCTCTCACTGTCTAACTCTGCCTGTCAAAAATAAAAATTAAAAGAAAAGAAAAAGACAGAGGTACAGAGAGAGAAGGAGGGAGAGAAGTCTCCCATCCGCTGGTTCACTCCCCATATGGCCACAATGGCTGGAACCTGGAGCTTCCTCTGGGTCTCCCATGTGGGTACAGGCACCCAAGCACTTGGGCCATCTTCCACTGTCTTCCCAGGCACATTACCAGGGAGCTATATCAGAAGTGGAGCAGCAGGGACTCGAACCAGCACCCTTTTGGGATGCCAGCACTGAAGGCAGAGGCTTAACCTAAGCCACAGTGCCAGCCCAAGGTTCTATTTTTTTTTTTTTTTTTTTTTTTTTTTACAGGCAGAGTGGACAGTGAGAGAGAGAGACAGAGAGAAAGGTCTTCCTTTGCCGTTGGTTCACCCTCCAATGGCCGCTGCTGCAGCCGGCGCACCGCGCTGATCCGATGGCAGGAGCCAGGATCCAGGTGCTTTTCCTGGTCTCCCATGGGGTGCAGGGCCCAAGCACCTGGGCCATCCTCCACTGCACTCCCTGGCCATAGCAGAGAGCTGGCCTGGAAGAGGGGCAACCGGGACAGAATCCGGCGCCCTGACCGGGACTAGAACCTGGTGTGCCGGCGCCGCTAGGTGGAGGATTAGCCTATTGAGCCACGGCGCCGGCCCCAAGGTTCTATTTTTAAACTTTTCATAGAAGGCAGGTTTTTTGGCACAGCAGATTAAGACTCCGCTTAGAATGCCTGCGTCCCGTATCAGACTGTAGGTTTAAGTGCTAGCCTTAGGAGGCAGAGGATGATGGCCCATCCTGGGGTCCCTGCTACCCATCTGGGAGACCCTGATGAGTTCCTGGCTCCTGGCAGCCCTGGCCATTGTGGCCACTTGGGAAGTGAACCAGTAGTTGGGAGTCTGTCTCTCCCCTCTTCTGTACCTCTGCCTTTAAAAATCAATGAATATTGGGCCAGCACCCTGGCATAGTAAGTTAATCCTCTGCCTGTGGCACTGGCATCCCACATGGGTCCCAGTTCTAGTCCCGGCTGCTCCTCTTCCGATCCAGCTCCCTGCTGTGAAGGGAAAGCAGAAGATGGCCCATGTCCTTGGGCCCCTGCACCCCCATGGGAGACAGGAAGAAGCACCTGGCTCCTGTGCTTCAGATTGGCTCAGCTCCAGTCATTGCAGCTATCTGGGGAGTGAACCAGAAGATGGGAGACCTCTCTCTCTGTGTCTACTACTCTCTGTAACTCTTTCAAATAAATAAATAAATCAAAACAGAGAAAGAGAGAGAGAGAAAGAAACAATGACTGTCATTGACACATAATGAATCCACACTATTCATGAGTCCTAAAGGTTCTCAAAAATAAAAGAGAGCCAGAAAAATATTCCCATCTGTCACCATATGATGCTACTTTTAAGCCAGCCCCTGACTCTGAGAACTTGGCATCCACCCTGCTTTTTGAAAGGGAACTGTATTTCAAGGGAACACATGGCCACTGTTCTTGCTTATAATAATAATCAGATGCTAGAATTTGAAAAACATCATTTTCCAACCTGAAGTGAAATCCCTATGCAGGCCAGGATTGTCTGTTTATGTTTGTACTGAGGTTCCTGGAGGGTGGGTAATGTACAACATGGCTGCCTTGGGTGAGAAGGACAGTCAGGTTGTCTCTGTCCCACAAGAGAGTCAACAACACTGAAATTCTACATGACATGCAAGGGGTACCACCCAGCCAGCAGTGCTTGGCCGGATGTCCAACAAGTATTTACACATGATTTCCCATCCATGGGAGCTACAGGAACTGTTGGAGAGAGTACAAGGCAACCAATGCACACGTCTATGAGGGGGAATGTCCTGCCAGAAACAAGGTCCACTCTCGTCCATCAGTCCTCACGTAGGGGCCAGCACTCTACATGGGCACTGGTTTGCATCCCCCCTGCCCCAGATTCCAGATCAGTGGCTGCTGAGGCTGGGGTGAGAGTAGAAATGGACACAGAATGTGGAGGAATTTTTTTTTTTTTTGACAGGCAGTTAGACAGTGAGAGAGAGAGACAGAGAAAGGTCTTCCTTCCATTGGTTCACCCCCCCAATGGCCGCTGCGGCCGGTGCACTGCAGCTGGCACACCGCGCTCATCCCAAGCCAGAAGCCAGGTGCTTCTCCTGGTTTCCCATGCAGGTGCAGGGCCCAAGCACTTGGGCCATCCTCCACTGTACTCCAGGGCCACAGCAGAGAGCTGGACTGGAAGAGGAGCAACTGGGACAGAATCCGGCAACCCAACCAGGACTACAACCCGCGGGTGCCAGCGCCGCAGGCAGAGGATTAGCCTAGTGAGCCATGGCGCCAGCCTAGGTATTTTTTTTTAAGTTAATTATTTATTTATTTATTTATTTATTTTGACAGCCAGAGTGGACAGTGAGAGAGAGAGACAGAGAGAAAGGTCTTCCTTTTGGCGTTGGTTCACCCTCCAATGGCCGCCGCGGTTGGCGGGCTGCGGCCGGCGCACCATGCTGATCCTAAGGCAGGAGCCAGGTGCTTTTCCTGGTCTCCCATGGGGTGCAGGGCCCAAGTACTTGGGCCATCCTCCACTGCACTCCCTGACCACAGCAGAGAACTGGCCTGGAAGAGGAGCAACTGGGACAGAATCTGGCACCCCGACCAGGACTAGAACCCGGTGTGCCGGCACCGCAAGGCGGAGGATTAGCCTACTGAGCCGCGGCGCCGGCCCAGATTTTATTTTTAAATAATTTTTATTTATTTTCATTTTCTTTGAAAGGCAGAGACACAGAAATATATAGAGAGCGATCTTGCCTCTGCTGGTTCACTCCCCTAATTCTTGCAATGGCCCAGCTGGGCTGGGTCAAAAACTGGGAAATAGAAATTCAATGTAGATCTCCCACATGGGTAGCAGGAACTCAACTATTTGAGTCATCACTACTGTCTCCCAGGGTCTGTGTTAACAGAAAGCTGGAGTAAGGAGCTAGAGCTGAAACCAAACCCAGGCACTCCAATGTGGGACACAGGCATCCTAACTGGCACTTTAATCAATAGACCAAACGCCTGCCCCTGGACAAATGTGGAAAGAAATGTTCTAAAATTGGATTGTACAGGGCCGCCGCCTGCAGTGCCAGCATGCCATATGAGTGTTGGTTTGAGTCCTGGCTGCTCCATCTCTGATCCAGCCCTCTGCTGTGGCCTGGAAAAGCAGTAGAAGATGGCCCAAGTCCTTGGGCCCCTGCACCCATGTGGGAGACCTGGAAGAAGCTCCCAGCTCCTGGCTATGGATCAATGCAGCTCCGGCCATTGCAGCCAACTGGGAAGTGAACCAGCGGATGGAGGGCCTCTCTTTCTCTCTGCCTCTCCTTCTCTCTCTGTGTAACTCTGACTTTCAAGTAAGTAAATTAAAACACACACACACACACACACACACAAGGGGCTGGTGCTGTGGCGTAGCGGGTAGAGCCGCTGCCTTCAGTGCTGGCATCCCATCTGGGCACCGGTTCGAGGACTAGCTGCTCTACTTCCAATCTAACTCTCTGTTATGGCCTGGGAAAGAAGTGGAAGATGGCCCAAGTCCTTGGGTCCCTGCACCCATGTGGGAGACACAGAAAAAACTCCTGGCTCCTGGCTTCAGATCGGCGCAGCTCCAGCTGTTGCAGCCATCTGGGGAGTGAACCAGCTGATGGAAGACCTCTCTCTCTCTCTGCCTCTCTTTCCCTTTCTATGTAACTCTTTCAAGTAAATAAATAAATCTTTAAAAAAAAAAACTGGATTGTAGTAATGGCTGCACACGGATGAATATTGATTGAGTTCCAGGCTCCTGGCTTTAGCATGGCTAGATTGGAAGTGGAGCAGCCAGGACTGAACCACTGCACCACAGTGCCGGCCCTGCTCCACTTCGGATCCAGCTCCTTGCTAATGTGCCTGGGAAAGCATCAGAAGATGGCCCAAATGCTTGGGCCCCTCTACCCATTGGGAGACCCAGAGGAAGCTCCCAGTTCCTGGCTTCAACCTGACCTAACCCTGACTGTTGCAGCCACTTGGGAAGTAAACCAGCAGATAGATCTCTCTGTCTCTCCCTCTTTCCCTGGAACTCTGCCCTTCAAATAAATAAAATAAATCTTAAAAAAAATCAATATCTGCCTCATTGAGGAATCTTCTGAAGAAAGGCTAAAAGGAAACTCATCCTTGTTTTATTTTATTTTTTTTTTTTAATTTTTGACAGGCAGAGTGGACAGTGAGAGAGAGACAGAGAGAGAAAGGTCTTCCTTTGCCGTTGGTTCACCCTCCAATGGCCGCCGCTGCAGCCGGCGCACCGCGCTGATCCGATGGCAGGAGCCAGGAGCCAGGTGCTTTTCCTGGTCTCCCATGGGGTGCAGGGCCCAAGCACCTGGCCATCCTCCACTGCACTCCCTGGCCACAGCAGAGAGCTGGCCTGGAAGAGGGGCAACCGGGACAGAATC